TCACTTGGCTACTGGACTCCACAGAGACTGTTCTGTTGTTTCTGTGATCTCTCCTTGCATTGAACCTGCCACAATTACATATTCGTCCCTGTCCTGCTCTAGGCAAAGACACCACTAGTACTGAGGCACTAAGGTAACCTCAGTGAGCCTATCGAGCTGTATGTACTGCTGGACAGGGAGTGACTTGAAGCGGAGTCGCATGCATTGTGTTCCCCACACATGATTTACCCAAGCCGGGGAAGGAGAGACTGTGCAATCGAGTCCTACACACCATCTGCACATAGCCAACAATCCTAGCCCCCTTGAACTGCAAGTTCTTCAACTGCAGGCTCCCCAGCTTAGTGCCAAGTGAAGCTAGGGCCAGTCATCCCCAACTTCAACGCAACTTCAAGCTAAGCCCTTCATCTAGTTTTATTGTTAATTAATTTCTTGTGTAAACAGAATCCCTGGGTTTTCCTTGTTGTTTTAAATATATGTATCCTTTAGATTTAGGATATCTGTATTTTTGTACAGCGTGTTAAAACCTTTCGCTAACTTCGCCGGAAACGCACTTATCTCCACTTAGTAAACAAATAAATAATGTAAGCAGGTGTCATAATTTTCATATTATGCCCGCTACAAATACATTCTGGAATTCAAATATATCTGAATATAAATAAAAAGATGCCCATGTTGGTTCATGTAAGATAGATTACTTACTCCTGAGCATGGTGACAGCCCATTGCACTACAGGCATGCGGTCTACCGTCCTTATCGTGAACACTCCTTTCGAATGAGAACACGAACCACTTGTTGTTGGCTTGGATAAGGATATCTTGCCTTCAGCCAAAGCCAGGACATCACTCTCTGTACAGTAATAATAAAGGGCAGTTACGTCCTTTTGAAACTGTGTCTCCCAAGTGGGCAATAATTTAATAGAAATCAATAATTTTAAAGTGAGTCTTAAGACCTATCTTTTGAATGAAGCAATTGGGATGTTTTGATAGATGTTTTACGTGTGTAAGGTATATCACGTGTAGTTGTAATGTTTTGCTAAATTTTGATGTATTTTAAGTAGTACTTTCAAAATGAAGCGTCACTGACAATTCAGTTTTAAGTGGCACTATAGAAAATTACTATCATTATTATTTACAATGTGTACACACATTTATGTGTATTTACTGATGAAACTGTGAATAGTAAAGCAGCAGTTCATGAAAATAAAATGCATCAATCGGAACACTTTAAATACGCTTAAGCATGATACTCAAAAGCAAATTGGAAGATAGATTTTATGTGGTTTGGTGGCATTAAAGTTAACTTTGCATCTTGAGCAGAAGCACCTGCCTTGTAGGTTGACAACAGTCATGTTGGTTGGTAGGAAGTGTTCATTTTGTAGGTAGCAATGAGACTACAACACATGCAGAGTCACATGCAGAGTCACATGCAGAGTCACATGCAGAGAAAGTCATTTCTGAATCAGTAAAGTGCAGTTCCCTCCAAAGGAGCCTCCACTGCTAGGAAAATTGTGCCATCTCCTGGTCCAACTCAGGATTGACTGAGTAGTCGCTTTGATGTGGTATGCCACTGCATTCATTTACCACTCAAATAAAGCATGAAAGGTCCCAAGTGCTTATGGAGAGTCTAGGTTCTGGTTTCCTGCATTACTCACTATTTTGCACTAAATTCTACATTCACCTCTGTTGAGATCCTACATTCTGTTCCCAACATCAGTTGTAACTACTAATACATATCAAATGACTGCTTCTATTTATAATGTGACAAGAGGTATGACCACAAATGAAAATTCATGAGTAAACTGACCTGGCACAAGATAGTCCGGGTTAACTCTCAAATATTCCACACGGGGACCACCTCTCTTTTTGGAAACGCTACTTCCTGCAATGAGCCGGCCAGATTCCCTCAAGTATTTGGCTGTCTCCTGATGAAGTTATGGGTTAACATTGGATACAAGTTGTAAGTACATATACACATACCAGCTGGTAAATTAATGTAGGAAACTCACAGCACAGATTGGCATACACATTTTTTCTTTTAAGAATAGCTAGTGACTGTGCATAGCACTGAGAGATAGCATCTACAAATGCATGTACAATGTCTTACCAATTCCCTGTGAAGTGGCTCCAGTCTCGGGGATCCTCTGTAGATCCATTCATTGCGTCCATCATTTGGGAAGTTCATATTAACCAATGAGCAATCAACTTCTGCCACCTTAGCACGCCACCTGTTGGAATATTTAGTCTACAGTAATAAATTCCTTCATGAAGGGATTTCTCACAGAGAAAACAAAACATTTGTGAACTTCAACAATTCTTACTGCCAACTGCTTGACCCTAGTGATTATTTAATAATATATCACGCAAGTGAAAATTCCCAAACTTCCGATGTTTGAATTTATTTGATTTGTGTGAAGTCATATTGCCAAAAATGCAACCGCTACTTCAAATTTTCAAATAGCTCCACAGTACCATCAAGCACAATGTACAACATAGGATTTTAAAAAAGCGTGACGTAACCAAGATTAATCAATTTTCAAGAACACAACAGCAGCGCACAAAATACAGCATTTTCTTTCAATAACTTGTTCATGTCTTTGCTGGAACTATCCATCAAAAATGCATAGGAAGCAAGTCAATTGAATGATTAGATTCCTGTAGGATGTTGACAAAGCAGAATATTGAAAAACAAATCTTCAAAACTACAAGCATCAGGACATCAGATGCTACTACATCAAATGGGACAACACCCTTTCATCTTAGGGATGTGCTGAGATGGAATGTACCATAACTTATTACATGTAGTGTTTTGAGGGGAGAGTATCAACATCACAGAGTTTAGGTGAGAATTATAATAAACATGTTTTAATATTCAGAAGGCCAGTGTTGCTCTATGGTTTTGCCTTTTAAATTAGAATAATGGTACAAATTGTGTTACAAAAACTTTTTTGTTCCTTAGTTTCTGACACATATTTTCTTCACTTGATCCAAATATGGATTGACCTCTTACATAATGTACATACGTCACTACAGTCAATTCTCATCATTATGAAACCTGCAGGAATGTGCATATTGCTCACATTCTGATGAGCTAGTCCTAGAGAGCTGCATTCAAACATTTTGTGAAGAGGTATATGTGTACTTAGTAAAAAAAGCTGGTAAATATTCAACAAATTTATCAAATAGACTTTTTTAATACAAATTCAACCAAACTAATCAGTTATCACTTAAATAAAGCAGAAAAACAACAACCGACTTCTTTATCTGGTACTGTAACGTGATGGTATGGACCACTGATCTACAGCATTCTTGATATGCATTTGAAATGCATTGTATTCTAATCTAATCAGTGAAAGCAAATGCCCTGGTTACGTTACAGGACATTTCTGTACCAGTAATTAACCACTTCGCTCCAGTGACAGTTATCAATGTTGATGATGCTGATAGGGCATAATAATTATTTTTTTTCTGTTTTCAAAATTCTTTAAAAATTCCTACCTTTATTTACTGGACACTTACAGTTACACCCACACGAAGGACTGTCTGGTTTCTACTCTAATCTGGCAGACAATATCTATTGATGCTGGAGTATTTCAGCCAGACCTGCCGCCTTGTAAAAAGAGCCCAAATTTTGCGTTGTTATGTAATTTTCTTTTGTTCACAAAACTGGTACAATGCGCTGCTGACGTCTTTTCAATAGGGGCCAGATTAGTGCGCAGCGGTACTGTGTGGCTCATCACGGCTGCTGTGGAGCGCTTTTGTCCCTGGTGGTAATCCACTTGCTCTAAATCCCTAAAAATCATGGTATGCTGTTTCAAAATAAGGCTGGATTATCTCTACTATTGAGAGTGAAACAATGTTGGTAATGCCCAGCAGCCTGGTCTTTTGTTATGAGTAGTCTTTTGTTACAAGGTCCAATCCCCTTTGTCTGATTTCGGAGACCCCGACCATGCGTATAAAGAGCACATGTCCAGTACCGGAAACCCCGACGGCAAGTGGTTAACAGATCTCCACCCATTAGCAACCTATACACAACCTGAGCGATGATTTTAAGTTTTGTCTAAGCACTTCCACAGTTGGTTGGGAAAATTTGGTTGGAAACTGTCTGATGTCAAATTGTACTTTTTCACTCTTTGTGAATGTGTGTGTTGTTGAAAATAATATTGAAACTGCTATCTCAAGTATGATTCATCAATACAATCTGAATTTCAACAAGAATTTATCTGTTTGCTGACAGAACAGAGGACATTTTCGCATTATTTTGGAAATTTGAGCAATTCACTGCACAAAACTGATGGAATAAATATTTTTAATTTTTATCATGACCATTTGGGTCCAAGGTTTCAACCCTATCTGACATGAACTTAAGGAAATAAAGTGCTTTAAGAGTGCACCTTTAACTTGACTTCTCACCTGTTGACGTCATCAACATATGAGGTCAACTTTCATCAAATCATGTCCCTTTATAGTTATCTGTAAAGTTTCAACCTGATGGGACATGCAGTTCAGGAGATATAGGGCTTTAAATAGTGCAGCTTTAATGTAATGTCTACGTGACTTGTCTCTTTGTGATATCATCATCACATCAGGTCAATTGTCATCTATAACACTTCTCTTTCTAGTTATACGTGCAAAATTTCACCCCAATGCGACATGTATTTCAGGAGAGCTTCAAAGAGAGCAATTTTAATGTCATGTGACTTGTATCCTGATGACGCCATCATTTCAAAACTGATTTTCACAATTTTTAACCTGTCACCAGAGGTCACTCAAAAATTATGTGATGTCATCAGTAGATGATTTGAAGAATACTAAACCCGAACAGACTGACGGCATTGAAAACAACTTCATACCTATTAGAACTTTTAAATACTATACAAGCCCACTTCCTGTTTCGACCGGAAGGATCACGTGATTTGACCCACATGAGATGAATTGAAGACCAAATTATACTCTGCCACTTGCTGCAAACAGAATTTTGCGGGAGGCCACGGGTGATTTTACACGTATATGGGTTTTAACTACATTAATGATTACATTAATGTTGTTAAAACCCATATACGTGTAAAATCAGTATTCAACATTTAATAATAAATCACTTGGTGACATCATCACGATATAATTATTTTAGTATTATCTTTGCTTCGAAGTCTGCCCTTTGTGTTACTTTGATAAAATTTGATATTGCTCAACAACCAAAATTTTGCCTTGAAAACGTGTACAAAGTCTGAAATAAATATTGAAAAATCAATAATAAATCAATTGATGACGTCATCATGACGTCATTGTTCGGGACACATCTATTAATTTATGGTTTATTTGACCGTTCATAGCAGCCCACAGGATGAATTAAGAAGAGCTTACACAAGATATTAAATTGATAAAGATTATTGTACATAAAATTAATATATATTTAATATTACCATGGAAATTGTCGAATAAAATACAATAGCTCCTAAAAAAAATACAGCCAAAGCAGATTGCACTGAAGTAGCACGAAAAGCCAAATAACCAGATAAACGAAACGCAAAAGAGGACAAAAAACACATACACCACCAAGAAGCCAAAAAAACCCCAACACCAACCAACAAACACATACATGAACATACAAAGAAACAGTCAAAAAATGGAATGGGGATACATGTACATTGCCTATAGATAACGATTACTTGGTGTTCTATGGCAGGGGTGGAGTGGATGAATTCAAGAGTCGGGTAAGGTAAGGAATTGGACTATTGTTGAAACAATTGGTTTTACATGTGCATTCCTCAAGTGTAGATCTGTGCATAAGGGTCTTTCATTGGTACAAGTGTGATGAGGATATAAAGTTGCAAAAGCACAAAAGTCATGTACAGAATAAACATGCACAAAACAAATGCACATTTGCACAGAAAAAGAAGAGGGAAGAAGGAAAAACTACAGGAATCAACATTTGTACATGCAGGTCACATCTTTAGAAGAGTAAGATCATCCACATACTTGAAACAACGCATTGGGTGCACAACAATGTTGTCAATAACAGCAGCAGCGTTAGATAAGACTTGAAAGTTTTCACGGTGAAAGAACTATATGAGTAAACGATTGTGGTTACACCATGGATCAATCTCTTTCTTGAGCATGTGTGGTTCTGAGAAGAACCAGGGAATAACTCGACTTATAGGACTTATGAAACTATTGAAATATTCGCTGCGGCAGGATATCAATTTGACAGCGAGTCAAGATGTCCTCACTCACTTCGGTGAAATACACATTCAAAGATTTATCTCACTGTGGTAAGATAAAATCATAATAACTTGCCGTGTCGAGATAACTCGAACTAAATTTTTGCAAGTGGCCCTTATACGTTTCCGTACATAACAGAGCTTAAATGTTATAAAACTACTGTGGCATACACGTAGCCTCAACAGACGAGACAAAGAAAGCTTTAAATGATTTACTCTGCAGAAACTATATAGTGGAAGACTACAAAAAGCATTGGTAAGAAAAGCATTGGCACTGAAATTGTCTACAGGGTTGTTTATTTACATTTAAACCTGTGATCCTTCCAATCACATGCTTCTCATACCTTTCAGGTGGTTTTTTTGGCTTTGGAAACAGCATATGGTGATATCCTTCAACATCCTCCAAAATTGTGGCACTGTTTTCTTGCAAGTTTTACAGACTCAGCAATCAAAGCATAATATGTTACCTTTAAGTTAGGAAAGCTAAGGTAACTTGACGTACGCAAAGTTATCAACTGGCCAAACAATGAGCAATTTTGAGTTGTTCTTGTGGCACAGAGACGTTGTAAACAGCCACTTACCACACTCCATTCCATTCAGTTTTCACCCAGTTATCACGATACAACCGTACCATGGGTCTCTCAGGATATTTTTCCAAGTACTCCTGAATAAACTCCCTGTTGTCTTCTGGTACATCTTCCCACACATTATTGCCTTCAAGCAAAAAAATGACATTTGGCATAAGTACATGTAAGTACATGTAGCCAGTGACCATAATGCTACCATACAATGTACACAGTGCATGTACATGTACATGTATGCTGTTGACAAATAGACCTTCTTGATTCAAAACTTGGAAATTTCATTTCTGGTATATGTACACATACAGTTGTACATACATGTACATGTAGTTGGGTTAAAGTTAGTTTTTTTTGTCAATAATGTGATCTTAAGTAATAAACCCATGATACACAAAATGTACTCACTGACTTCATGGATTAAATGTATCTTCTTGAGGCCAAGGTATTGTGCAAAGCCATCATCAAAGAAGATGAGATACCGGGCCTTGTTAATATGCAGTGGTACTTCTGCTACAATGCCAGCATACAAGGAGGTGTGTGGTGTACGACCTCCAGTCTCATACTCGGCTGCAGTATAAAGAGAAGAAAGGAATCCAATTTCAGCCATCACAAAACTAAAAGCACTCAGTCATTTATAAGGTAATGATGTCCATGTACATGAGTATTATATTAACATTGGTCCAGGAATCTATGGAAATCTGCATCATTGTTTTGATTCCGTAAGTCTAGCCACTAGCACTTCACATGTGGCTTGATGACCCAACTTTGTGCAAGTACAGATGCACAAAGTGTGAGCCAATGGATTACTGCTAAGTTGGATTATGATACGTTCAAGAAAAATATCCAATTGATCAGGATTGCAAGCAAACATACAGTACCTGCATTCGCAAATAATGCAGAGATAGAATGGTTCTGTTTACTCACCTACGACACGACTACCCACATGTACTCTTGAAGGAGGAGGATAGGAATGAATAGAAATGTGTTTCCCTGACACCACTGTTCCACCTTTGTTATCGAACTTCAATTTGAACTTTTGCTAAGACAAGTAAAACCAAAAACAGTTAGCTGTTACAATGCAATAACAAAGAAACAAATTCAATGAGATATACCAGTATGCTGTATACATGTAGCTTGTGGTGCTCTCCCTAACAACTTAAAGATTTGGCACAAAAAAAATTTTATTGAGGGGCAATTCTTAATAAAGCGACCTCATAAAAAAATTAAAACAGTGAAGCTGTGTTGGCTTGCTGCTACATGTACTGGTACATTTTAAAAAAAAAGCAAGTCAATTTACCAGTATTTAAAATAAACACATGAAACTTGTATTTTTGCTAACTTTTGCTACACAGTGACCTAGTATATGAGCAATTTGTGAATTTTTCTCCCAATTTCCAAAACGTACGGCTTACGTGAAATGTATCAAATATTTCATCCAATCCAAGGCACATGTAAGTGTATACCATAATACAAAAATTTGGAACATTCACAATGCTTTATCAATTACCATCGCTGCCAAACCTCACTCAACCCAACAAATCCCCCTTCCA